AAAAAAGTGTATAAGTGGGTTGTTAATGGACTTTTTCTGATGAAATAGTTAACGAGAAAAAATTGTGGGTGTGGGTGATGTGGGTTGTGGGTGATGTGGGTTGTGGGTGTTGTGGGATGTGGGTGTTGATCTTAGTTTATGGTGATTTTGGTGGTGTTTTGAGTGTATTCAGTGGTGTTTTAGTAGTATTCAGTGGTGTATTTGGGAGTACTCAAATGGTGTTTTGGAAGTGTTTCAGTGTTGTTTGGAAATGTTCAAAGGTGTTTTTGAAGGTGTTCAAAGTAAAGTGTGTGTGCGTATTAACTTCGTAATATGTAAAATTGTGACTAGTGAATTTATCGAAAAGTGGATGTAAGTGTTGTGGTGACTTTTTCTGATGAAATAGTTAAAACGAGAAAAATGTCTAGACATGTGTTGTATTTTGTAAAGAAAATGTGGGTATTAACGAAAAAAATGTGAAATTATTTGGGTTAAGAGTGAAAATGTTTTCCCTATGTTGTATATGAAATGTGTAGGGGTAAGTCGACAAGATTCAGCCTGTGTGTGTGGGGTCATCGCGTGACGTCACTGTCATAGGGGGAAGTCGACAAGTTTCAGCTTGTATGTGTGTGTGTGACGTCACTGACCGCCGAGTAAACACATTAATGAGAGGAATACTGACGTCACACTTGTTTAGACCTGTAGTAAGAGAGAGCACCATGCCCCCATAGGAGGAGTCCATTTTGAATGCTTAAACCCAGAGGGGGGGAATCCAAAAAAACTTGATCCGAGGAGATAGAGGAGAAATACTTGGACATAGAGGGTAGAAGTGGATGGTGGGGGAAATCTTTGTAATATTGATATCGAGAAAACTTGATTCGAGGAAATGGAGTCTTGGTAATATCGAGAAAAATTTGAGGTGGGGGGTGAGTGAAAGTGGGAGGGGTAATCCAAAAATTTGATCCAAGGTGATGGAGACTTTGATTTCGAAAAAAATTTGGGATGCAAGTGGGAGTCCATTTTGAATGTTTATACCCAGAGGGGGGAATCCAAAAACTTGTATTATCGAGAAAATTTGGGGTGGGGGTGAAAGTGAGAGGGGGAACCTCAAAAACTTGATCCGAGGAGAGCAAATGAAATTCGAAACCCCCATAGGGGGGAATCCAAAACTTGTATTATCGAGAAAAATTTGAGGTGGGGGGTGGGTGAAAGTGAGAGGGGGAACCTCAAAAATTTGATCCGAGGAGAGCACAAGAAATTCAAAAAAAAATCGAAAAAAATCGGAAAAAAATTCGGGGGCGCGGGGGCGATCCGGACGACGCTGCAGAAGGCGCAGCAGAAGGCGCGGGCGGGCGCGACGGGCGCGAGGGGCGCGGCGAGGGTGGTGGGTCGTGGCATGGGTCGTGGAGGGGGGGGTCGTGGCGGGGGTCGTGGAGGGGGTCGTGGCGGGGGGTCGTGGCGGGGTCAAGGGTGGGGTCATGGGTGGGGTCATGGGTGGGGTCATGGGTGGGGTCAAACCGGAAGTAACACATAGGTGTGAAAAGGGGACCGCGAGACTCTAGACCGGAAGGGTCGCCCCAGCCGCACCCCGTTTTCCGGAAGGGACGCCCCAGCCGCACCCCGTTTTCCGGAAGGGACGCCCCAGCCGCACCCCGTTTTCCGGAAGAGACGCCCCAGCCGCATTATACACTACTTATATATATATATATATATATATATATATATATATATATTATATATATATATATATATATATATATACATATGTGTGTGTGTGTGTGTGTGTGTGTGTGTGTGTGTGTGTGTGTGTGTTGTGTGTGTGTGTGTCTGTGTGTGTGTCTGTACTCACCTAGTTAAGGTTGCGGGGGTCGAGTCCGAGCTCCTGGCCCCGCCTCTTCACTGATCGCTACTGGGCCCTCTCGCTGCTTCCCGAGCTCTGTCATACCTCCTCCCAAAACCATGCATGGTTCCTGCCTCCACCACTTCACTTGCTAGGCTATTCCACTTGCTGACAACTCTATGACTGAAGAAATACTTCCTAACATCCCTGTGACTCGTCTGAGTCTTCAGCTTCCAGTTGTGACCCCTTGTCCCTGTGTCCCCTCTCTGGAACATCCTATCTCTGTCCACCTTGTCTATTCCCCGCAGTATCTTGTATGTCGTTATCATGTCTCCCCTGACCCTTCTGTCCTCCAGTGTCGTCAGTCCGATTTCCCTTAACCTTTCCTCGTACGACATTCCCTTGAGCTCTGGGACTAGCCTTGTTGCAAACCTTTGTACTTTCTCTAACTTCTTGACGTGCTTGACCAGGTGTGGGTTCCAGACTGGTGCTGCATACTCCAGTATGGGCCTAACATACACTGTGTACAGTGTCTTGAACGATTCCTTATTAAGGTATCGGAACGCTATTCTCAGGTTTGCCAGGCGCCCGTATGCTGCAGCGGTTATTTGGTTGAGTGTGTGTGTGTGTGTGTGTGTGTGTGTGTGTGTGTGTGTGTGTGTGTGTGTGTGTGTGTGTGTGTGTGTGTGTGTTTGTGTGTGGAGGTGGGAAGTACAATGCCTGCAATTAATTTAAAGGAGGGGGTTTGGGATAATGGCTGTTTGGAGTGACATCTAAACTGTCATATCTGGGCGCCTCTGCAAAGACAGTGATTTTGTGTGAGTGGTGAAAGTATTTCTTTTTCTGGGTCACCCTGCCTCGCTGGGAGGCAGTTGAACAGTCTTGTACCCCTGACACTTATTGTGTTGTCTCTTATCGTGCTTGTGGCACCCCTGCTTTTCATTTGGGGGATGCATCGTTTGCCGAGTCTTTTGCTTTCACAGGGAGTGAGTTTCATGTGCAAGTTTGGTACTAATCCCTTTAGGATTTTCCAAGTGTATATAATCATGTATCTCTCCCGCCTGCATTCTAGGGCGTACAGGTTGAGGAACTTGAAGCATACCCAGTAATTGAGGTGTTTTATCGCAGTTATGTGTGCCATGATGGTTCTCTGTACATTTTCTAGGTCAGCAATTTCACCTGCCTTGAAAGGTGCTGTTAGTGTGCAGCAATATTTCAGCCTAGATAGAACAAGTGACCTGAAGAGTGTCATCATGGGCTCGGCATCCCTAGTTCTCATTATCCATCCTGTCATTTTTCTAGCAGATGTAATTGATACAATGTTATGGTCCTTGAAGGTGAGATCCTGTGACATGATCACTCCCAGGTCTTTTACGTTAGTTTTTCACTCTATTGTGTGGTTAAAATTTATTTTATACTCCGATGAAGCTTTAATTTCCTCACTTTTTCCATATCGGAGTAATTGAAATTTCTCATCACTGAACTTCACATTGTTTTCTGCAGCCCATTTAAAGATTTGGTTGATGTCCGCATGGAGCCTTGCAATGTTTTCGATGGAGGACACTGTCATGCAAATTCAGGTGTCATCTGCAAAGGAAGACACGGTGCTGTGGCTTATATCCCTGTCTATGTCCAATATGAGGATGAGGAGCGAGATGGGAGCGAGTATTGTGCCTTGTGGAACAGAGCTTTTCACCGTAGCCGCCTCAGACTTAACTATGTCCTATTTGTTAGGAAATTATAGATCCATCTACCAACTTTTCCTGTTATTCCTTTATCACGCATTTTGTGCGTTATTACACCATGGTCCCATTTGTCAAAGGCTTTTGTAAAGTCTGTGTATATTACATCTACATTCTGTTTGTCTTCTAGAGCATCCAGGACCTTGTCGTAGTGGTCCAGTAGTTGGGACAGACAGGAGCGACCTATTCTAAACCCATGTTGCCCTGGGTTGTGTAAGTGATGAGTATCTAGATGGGTGGTGATCTTGCTTCTTAGGACCCTTTCAAAGATTTTTTATGGTATGGAACGTTAGCGCTATCGGTCTGTTGTTCTTTACTGCCCCCTTTGTGGAGTGGGGCTATGTCTGTTGTTTTTAGTAACTGTTGGACGACCCCAGTGTCCATGCTCCCTCTCCATAGGATGGTAAAAGCTCGTGATAGGGGCTTCTTGCAGTTCTTGATGTACACGGAGTTCCACGAGTCTGGGCCCGGGGCAGAGTGCATGGGCATGTCATTTATTGCCTTTTCAGATTCATATGACGTCAGGATAATATCAGATAGACGTGTGTCTACCAAATTCTCTCTCATGAAAAAATCATTTAGGTCTTCGACTCTCAGTCTGGTTAGCGGTTCGCTAAAAACCGAGTCCTATTGGGACTTAAGTAGCTCACTCATTGCCTTGCTGTCATCTGTGTAGGTCCCATCCCCTTTAGGTAAGGGTCCAGTACTGGATGTTATTCTCGACTTTGATTTAGCATAAGAAAAGAAATACTTTGGGTGTCTTTCAATTTCATTTATGGCTTTTAGTTCCTCTCACATTTCTTGACTCCTGTAAGATTCCTTTAACTTTAGTTCAATGTTTGCTATTTCTCTGACCAGTGTCTCCCTACATATTGCAGATATACTGGCCTCTTGTAGCCGCTCTGTTATTCTTTGCCTTCACCTGTATAGGGAGCGCCTTTCTCTTTCTAGTTTACCTTTTTTATTCCTCCTTTTCCTTAAGGGAATATAACTTGAGCATACCTCAGTGCCACAGAGTTAATTTGTTCAAGACAGGTTAGGATCCGTGTTGCTTAATCTATCTTCCCAGTTAATATCATTTAGGACTTGGTTTACTTGCTCCCACCTTATGTTTTTGTTACTGAAGTTGAATTTGGTGAAGGTTCCTTCGTGTCTAGACCTCTTATTATGTTGTGATCTGAGTATATTGTTTTTGATATGATGACATTTTGTATCAGAGCATCATTGTTAGTAAATTATTATTATTATAATAATTGGGGAGCGTTAAACCCGTAGGATTACACAGCGTATGTAAGGGGGAGGGATGGAAGGTATTCACGCTCAATTCAGGGAACTGGAGCACAGATCCAATTCCCTAGATCAAGAGCCCCTCACCAGCGTCAAGGAACCTCCCTTGAGGGGATTGGTGGCCTGGTGGCTAACGCTCTGGCTTCACACGGCGAGGGCCTCGGTTCGATTCCCAGCCAGAGTAGAAACTTTGGGCGTGTTTCTTTCCACCTGTTGTTTATGTTCCCCATCAGTAAAATGGGTACCTGGGTGTTAGTCGACTGGTGTGGGTCGCATCCTGGGACACTGACCTAATTTGCCCGACATGCGGAGCATATGCTTAAATTACTAAATAAATAAATAAATAACAAGGGGCTTTCTATGTAGTAGTATGTCATTGTTGTCAGCTAGGCCTTTATACCATGTACATGTACTTGTTGTAAATAAAGATATTATTATATTATTATTAAGATGAGGTCCAGCGTATTCTCCAATCTTGTAGGCTCTTTTTTTTTTATTCGCCGGTACTCTCCCGGCCCGGGTCTTTTCCAAGTAGTGGTGACCCGGCCTTAGCTCCCTATCTGGGGAGTATCTCGAGACCTAAGTCTCCCATGGGAGGAGGTACAAGTACCCCCTCATCTTTGGGACCAAGTGTCCCCAGGCCTAGCCACATTCCCCCCCCCCCTCACGGGGCTCGTAGGGAGAAGCTAGGCCTCTGGTCTGCCATTTGCCCCTCCCCAAAGGGGCTCGTATTATATAATATATATATATATATATATATATATATATATATATATATATATATATATATATATATATATTATATATATATATATATTATTTATTTTTAAATAAAACTAATTGTTTAATAAAAATTTATTTTTAAAATATGTTAAGAATTACCAATTTCAATATTTATTTTTTATTAAAATTTGAAATAGCACATTTTGAACTTGAGAAGTGACATTAGAGCAGTTGCTGTTGAGAATTCTCCGTGAAATAATTTGTTATATATCTTTGTTCACAATTCATCCGGTGGTTTCCAAATTGCCGATGCCTCCTATACTTTTGGTTAATATATTTTTAAGGTGTAATTTTTTCACATTTTCCTGCTGGAGATAAAATATTTATAATTTCTTAGTGATAGTTGAATGAACCGATCATTGCCCGTCTCGACTCCCTGCAGATGTCACAAGGACATAAGAAATATAAAAGAAACAAGTAAAAAAGCTTCATGTGATGTTAGTACTTGTGAGGTTATAATGATAGTTAAAGGAGTTTGAATGTTTATTAATACAATAAAGAATACACTATGATAGTCTTTTGTCACAATACACCTGTCCGACTCTTCCCGGCGACTCAGGTTTCGCACCTTATATCGTAAACACCAAGTGGGGGCAGTTTCTTCCATCTTTTTCTATTAATTAGAAGGTAAGAATTGACACCCAGACGCAGGATCAGAACGTGTACCGCCGTAGGAAGGTGACCGAGTAGAAATGGCGGAGAAATCAAGTTGAAAGAAGCAGGAAAAGGCTTTAAGTGTTGGGGAGAATACGCATGTACGCACACACCGTGTGGCAGTGTTGCCGCTGGTCACTGCTGCATCAAGACCGCCATCAATTGATTAAAATTTTCACCTGAATTTGAGCCTGTGATCGATTTTTTTTTGGGGGGGGCATTTATTCCCGGCGTTTTAATTTTACTTTTTTATATGTATTATTTGTACGCGGAAAAACCTTTTGAGGGTAACTCTTGGTTCAGATTTAACTATAGTCTGAAAATTAAAATGGCAAATTAGTTGTCCAGGGATACCAACTATTTTATAATATGAGAGAGAGGAGGGCAGTATTTTACATATTTTTTTTTGCCTTTGAATCAAATTTAAACAGACTAAGTTTCGAGCTATGTTTTCCCTGACAAAGAAAACTACTGATGATATCAATGAACTGACTTCAGTGGAGGTTCCTAGATGATGCTTTAGGGTTCTTGATCCAAGGAGTTGAAGCACCCGAACACAAGGTTAGATCTGACAACCCCCCAATACCCCAAGTAATATATGACCCTAATGGGTGTAGTGCTTACCTATGAGCAATTGTGACTTCAGTGGAAATAGTCACCGATTTTTTTTTTGAGTAATCCTATGTAATTTTCACATGTTACTGTTTTAGACAGTTATAAGAATCTTAACGTGTGTAATGTACCTGAATAAACATACTGACACTGGTTAGCATAAATTTAATTACTCGGCTTAATTTTACAAGGAATTAGACACATGTGCAATGCCTGGGTATCTTTGAAGACATTTTGCCTACCAGTGGCTCTTTCAGCTCGGTACTGAGATGATGTATGAGACAGTAGATGATGAGATAATCCACTGCTTGAAGTGCATTGCATGCTGGTGGCTTGTTTTTGTGTTTAACATTATTTTATTACATGTAAACTATATTTTGCACACTGCAGAAAAGAAAGAAATATATATTGTGTATCATCACTTTATTGAACTGAAAAAGTCACTAATTGGCAAAATGTCTTCAAATAGAAGATACCGAGGTTTTGCATGTGTGTGTCTGAGTCCTCATCTTGTTGCTGTTGTATAGCATTATTGTAATGATATTCATTTTGCAATTTATATTCTAAAAATATGATCAGAGTCATTGATGCATCAGTAACAGGCTTATACACCACTAATGCATCACCCTTCATAAGGGGTGCTTAAGCTAGTGAGGGGGTTCTGGATCCTAGGAATTGGAGTTATTCCTCTCTTTGGAACAAACTGAATACTTCCTATTCTCTAAACATATTGCCCTAATAGGTTTAGCACTTCCCTATGAATATATTAATGTTGTACAGTATATAAATACTTGTTAATTGTATTGTTGAAGTTTTTGATGCTTAAGATACCCATAGTAAGTGTTACCAGTTAAACTATTAGTAGTAAGGAGGAGAAGTACTTCTCTGCCAGTGAGACACAGCTCATAAGTGAGAGAGCCCATTGCTAAGATTATCACTCATTGAGAGAGCCCATCCCTGAGACAAATTGTCATTGAGACAGCCAGGTATAGAGAAAGCTAATCACCATACACATAATCCATCATTACGAGAACCCATTATTAAAACGACTTATTGGGAGAGCCCATCGTTGAGAGTCCACGAGAGAAAATCTTGGTGTGATTGCGAACAGTAGATCAGAGGTCGGCAGACTTTTTGGGTATTACCCCAAAACAAATTTGTGCACGACAAAATTGCCCACTAGACTTTAAAAGTCCACAGAATGTGGAAAACACGAGGGGTATTCAAATTCAAAATAGTTAATTTAATCCATTTGTATGGAGAATACAGTCATACAAGCTGAAAAGTATGTATGTATTATACACAATAAAGCAATTTAAAAATAAAACAAAATTAAAATAAAATGAAAAATAATTTTTTGTGCAGTTTTATTAGTGTTTATTGAGCCTTCATTACCTCTGAGATTTACCCCCAGTTCCCCAACCTAGGCAATAGATTATCATTATTAGACCACATATAGTACAGTATTTTGCTGTACCATACTAAGAGAAATATGTAACATTTATTATGAGTGCAAATTACTGGCTAGCAAAACATTTCCAAGATGAATATTCCTAAATGTTGCCCAAGTGTCTCAATTATCAACTTGTCGGTTTTCTAAACCATTTATACAAATACAGCCTCTCCTCACTTAACGATGGAGATAGGGACCTAAGACTCCTTTGGAAAACGAATTCATCGCTAAACGAGGAGCATACTACAGTGGACCCCCGGTTTACGATATTTCATTCCAGAAGTATGTTCAGATGCCATTACTGAACGAATTTGTTCCCATAAGGAATATTGTGAATTAGATTAGTCCATTTCAGACCCCCAAACATACACATACAAACGCACTTACATAAATACACTTACATAATTGGTCGCATTGGGAGCTGATCGTAAAGCGGGGGTCCACTGTATAATGGTAGTGGATTTGTGTCAACCATTGATTTTGTTTTAATGTCATCTTTACACCATTTACGTATAACATTTCTGGTACGTATGTATTTTTAAATGTTTATACAGCAGTGCACTGTATATTGTAATAAACAGAATTGAGGAAATCATCTCTAGGTAGTAGGTTGGTAGACAGCAACCACCCAGGGAAGTACTACCGTCCTGCCAGATGACTGTGAAACAAAAACCTGTAACTGTTTTGCATGATGGTAGGATTGCTGGTTTCTTTTTCTGTCTCATAAATACGCTAGATAACAGGGATATCTTGCTACTCCTACTTACACTTTGGTCACACTTCACAGACACGCACATGCATATATATATACATACATCTAGGTTTTTCTCCTTTTTCTAAATAGCTCTTGTTCTTCTTTATTTCTTCTATTGTCCATGGGGAAGTGGAAAAGAATCTTTCCTCCGTAAGCCATGCGTGTCGTATGAGGCGACTAAAATGCCGGGAGCAATGGGCTAGTAACCCCTTCTCCTGTAGGCATTTACTAAAAAAGAGAAGAAGAAAAACTTTATAAAACTGGGATGCTTAAATGTGCGTGGATGTAGTGCGGATGACAAGAAACAGATGATTGCTGATGTTATGAATGAAAAGAAGTTGGATGTCCTGGCCCTAAGCAAAACAAAGCTGAAGGGGGTAGGAGAGTTTCAGTGGGGGGAAATAAATGGGATTAAATCTGGAGTATCTGAGAGAGTTAGAGCAAAGGAAGGGGTAGCAGTAATGTTAAATGATCAGTTATGGAAGGAGAAAAGAGAATATGAATGTGTAAATTCAAGAATTATGTGGATTAAAGTAAAGGTTGGATGCGAGAAGTGGGTCATAATAAGCGTGTATGCACCTGGAGAAGAGAGGAATGCAGAGGAGAGAAAGAGATTTTGGGAGATGTTAAGTGAATGTATAGGAGCCTTTGAACCAAGTGAGAGAGTAATTGTGGTAGGGGACCTGAATGCTAAAGTAGGAGAAACTTTTAGAGAGGGTGTGGTAGGTAAGTTTGGGGTGCCAGGTGTAAATGATAATGGGAGCCCTTTGATTGAACTTTGTATAGAAAGGGGTTTAGTTATAGGTAATACATATTTTAAGAAAAAGAGGATAAATAAGTATACAAGATATGATGTAGGGCAAAATGACAGTAGTTTGTTGGATTATGTATTGGTAGATAAAAGACTGTTGAGTAGACTTCAGGATGTACATGTTTATAGAGGGGCCACAGATATATCAGATCACTTTCTAGTTGTAGCTACACTGAGAGAAAAAGGTAGATGGGATACAAGGAGAATAGAAGCATCAGGGAAGAGAGAGGTGAAGGTTTATAAACTAAAAGAGGAGGCAGTTAGGGTAAGATATAAACAGCTATTGGAGGATAGATGGGCTAATGAGAGCATAGGCAATGGGGTCGAAGAGGTATGGGGTAGGTTTAAAAATGTAGTGTTAGAGTGTTCAGCAGAAGTTTGTGGTTACAGGAAAGTGGGTGCAGGAGGGAAGAGGAGCGATTGGTGGAATGATGATGTGAAGAGAGTAGTAAGGGAGAAAAAGTTAGCATATGAGAAGTTTTTACAAAGTAGAAGTGATGCAAGGAGGGAAGAGTATATGGAGAAAAAGAGAGAGGTTAAGAGAGTGGTGAAGCAATGTAAAAAGAGCAAATGAGAGAGTGGGTGAGATGTTATCAACAAATTTTGTTGAAAATAAGAAAAAGTTTTGGAGTGAGATTAACAAGTTAAGAAAGCCTAGAGAACAAATGGATTTGTCAGTTAAAAATAGGAGAGGAGAGTTATTAAATGGAGAGTTAGAGGTATTGGGAAGATGGAGGGAATATTTTGAGGAATTGTTAAATGTTGATGAAGATAGGGAAGCTGTGATTTCGTGTATAGGGCAAGGAGGAATAACATCTTGTAGGAGTGAGGAAGAGCCAGTTGTGAGTGTGGGGGAAGTTCGTGAGGCAGTAGGTAAAATGAAAGGGGGTAAGGCAGCTGGGATTGATGGGATAAAGATAGAAATGTTAAAAGTAGGTGGGGATATAGTTTTGGAGTGGTTGGTGCAATTATTTAATAAATGTATGGAAGAGGGTAAGGTACCTAGGGATTGGCAGAGAGCATGCATAGTTCCTTTGTATAAAGGCAAAGGGGATAAAAGAGAGTGCAAAAATTATAGGGGGATAAGTCTGTTGAGTATACCTGGTAAAGTGTATGGTAGAGTTATAATTGAAAGAATTAAGAGTAAGACGGAGAATAGGATAGCAGATGAACAAGGAGGCTTTAGGAAAGGTAGGGGGTGTGTGGACCAGGTGTTTACAGTGAAACATGTAAGTGAACAGTATTTGGATAAGGCTAAAGAGGTCTTTGTGGCATTTATGGATTTGGAAAAGGCGTATGACAGGGTGGATAGGGGGGCAATGTGGCAGATGTTGCAAGTGTATGGTGTAGGAGGTAGGTTACTGAAAGCAGTGAAGAGTTTTTACGAGGATAGTGAGGCTCAAGTTAGAGTATGTAGGAAAGAGGGAAATTTTTTCCCAGTAAAAGTACGCCTTAGACAAGGATGTGTGATGTCACCGTGGTTGTTTAATATATTTATAGATGGGTTGTAAGAGAAGTAAATGCGAGGGTCTTGGCAAGAGGCGTGGAGTTAAAAGATAAAGAATCACACACAAAGTGGGAGTTGTCACAGCTGCTCTTTGCTGATGACACTGTGCTCTTGGGAGATTCTGAAGAGAAGTTGCAGAGATTGGTGGATGAATTTGGTAGGGTGTGCAAAAGAAGAAAATTAAAGGTGAATACAGGAAAGAGTAAGGTTATGAGGATAACAAAAAGATTAGGTGATGAAAGATTGGATATCAGATTGGAGGGAGAGAGTATGGAGGAGGTGAACGTATTCAGATATTTGGGAGTGGACGTGTCAGCGGATGGGTCTATGAAAGATGAGGTGAATCATAGAATTGATGAGGGAAAAAGAGTGAGTGGTGCACTTAGGAGTCTGTAGAGACAAAGAACTTTGTCCTTGGAGGCAA